GAGCACTAACCGTAGGCGTGGCCCTGTTTTGGGCACCGGGGATATAGTGATCAACAGTGCCCTAATGGAGCTCACATTTTAGTGGAAAAAATAGATAATAAATAGATGTGTAATACAACATAATGATAAGTCCTATAAAGAATCTAAAACAGGGTAAGAGGACAAATTGGCAGGGGAGTTATTTTATTTTATTTATTTTTTAAAGATTTTATTTTTATTTATTCTTGAGAGACACAGAGAGCAAGGCAGAGACCTAGGCAGAGAGAGAAGCAGGCTCGCTGTGGGGAGGGAGCTTGATGTGGGACTTGATCCCAGAACCCCGGGATCACAACTTGAGCTAAAGGCAGAAACTCAACCGCTGAGCCACCCAGGTGTCCCAGGGGAGTTATTTTAAATTGTAGAATACTGTAGTGAAGTGTAAAGTCTGTGCAATAGAAATAGAAATATAAAAAGACATTGTCTGAATAGTAACAGAATTGTGATGATTGTGTGGAGTGAGAGGAGGAATAGGTGATTCATTACCACTAGTAAAAGAGGCTATTTAGGCCTTTAAAAGGTCATAGTGTTTTTGTTAGAAGTCAGTACTAATAATAATCCTAAGAATCAGTGTAGTTTGTTCTAACTATTGAGATTTGGTGCAAATGAAAAGTAATCATATCTGAGGTACTTAAGTGGATGGAAAGAATAGATAATCTATTGTGGAAGGTACATAAACTGAAAGAATCACAAGAAAAATTATAGCATCATAAAGGAAAAAGAAATATTATGTTAAAATGCTAAGTGAATCCCCCATATCATAAAAATAAAATTTGTTACAGTCTCATATCACAAACTCCATAATGATAGTCCTTTTGTTTATTTAAACCCACTCCCCTTAATTTGTTTTTCCCCCATTCCACTTACTTGAAAGGATTTGAAAAGATTTAGAAAGTGATTTAAAGTAAGAATAAGAGAAGAGGATAATTAGATGGTATTTGGAATTTATAAACATGTTCTCATGGACACATTCTTCATGTAGCTGCTGCTTATGATTTACCCACATGAAAGTCCAGGCATAGTATTAAAATAAGCTCTTTGGGGCAGCCAGGGTGGCTCAGTGGTTTAGCACCACCTTCAGCCCAGGGTGTGATCCTGGAGATCTGGAGTTGAGTCCCACGTTGGGCTCCCTGCATGGAGCCTGCTTCTCCCTCTGCCTATGTCCCTGCCTTTCTCTGTCTGTGTCTCTCATGAATAAATAAATAAAATCTTTAAAAGATAATAATAAAATGAGCTCTCTGAAGAAATATTCTCAGTGAACTTAAAATTGTTTAGCCCATGGATATATTTGTCTGGTGATCTAATTGAGTGCCAGGATGAAGCTTAGAGGATTTACAATATAAATTCATTGATTGATAGATGAGGGCTAGGTAGGAAACAAAACCTTGAAGTCTCATTGGGAGGTAGGAGTACAGAAAGGGAAGCCATGTATTGTACAAACTGAGCATGCTTAGATGGAATCCCATCCTGCCTCATATAGAAGCAGCAGCAGGAGTGGGTGGGTAGGGTCAGGACTTTTCTCACAGAATAGCAATGGATCTGCTGGACCTTACACCACAAAGCATGAAGGAGACATTCTTTCTTGTGAGGATTACTAGAAACATCACTACTGTCTCACATACATATTAGTATAAAACAAGAATACTTACTGCTACTACCCATACCTATTTAGAGAAGATTGTTGGAAAATAGATGGAATAAGAAAGATAAGTAAAAGATTTACCGTATGCTCTGTGGCACTTTGTTTTTCTGGCTAATAATTTTCATAGAATATTATAATTACTTGCATTCAGTCTTCCCATTCAAGTTGTGAATGCTCTCAGAGCTTTTTATTAATTTTTTTTATACCCTGTCTGATACATTGGCTGGCAATTCTAATCATGCAGCAAGTGCTTTTAGAGTGGGTAGAAGTGCAATTTCTATAAAATTCAGGAAAAACGATATCAGGAAAATCCAAGTGTACTAATAGAAGTGTAAATTCAGCAACATGACAAGATAAATTCACAAAATTTGGCTACAGTTATGACCTGGTAGTGATAAAAAGTTAAAAAACCTAGCACAGTATTAAAAATAGTATTTTATATTTTATTACTATTTTTTAAAGTTTATTTATTTATTTATGAGTGAGTGAGTGAGTGAGTGAGTGAGGCAGAGAGAGACAGGCAAAGGGAAGCAGGCACCCTGCAGGGATCCCAATGTGAGACTTGATCCTGGGACTCTGGGACCATGCCCTGAGCTGAAGGCAGATGCTCAACCACTGAGCCACCCAGGTATCCCTAAAAAAATAGTAATTTTTAAAGATAATAGTAATAAACAGTCTAATAAGGAAAGCTAGACATTCATTCAAAGAATTAAAAGTTTGGATCTAGCTAAGAAAAATTTAAATTACAATGTTATATTTATTCTAGAAAAAAACAAATAAAGTATATAATAATCTTTTTGTGAGGTGAAGCAAAGAACAAGAATTTGGAAGGATAGATTTCTAAATCTGGCCAGCTTTAAAATATATCCTAAAATGAAAGACATCACAACTATAGGACAGTGAAATAAACCAGGGATTCCAGAAATAAATTCAGTTTCTCAGGAGCCAGTTATGTGACAACTGGGGAAACAAGAAGGACAGTGGAACAGCGTTGTTTTTTACTGCCTGCTACTGAAAACGACAAGGAGGTTTGTAATAGATTATTTATGGTCTGTCTTCCATACTGTGTACCTTACGCTCCCACCAAATAGTTAAACATGAAAAAACTTAGAAGTAAATTAGTAAAGTAGGTCAGGATATTTATTTCAACTGTAGAGATATTTATTTCTGTGGAGAAATTTAAAACAGTTTTTAAGCTGCAATTGAACTGTTGAAGAATTGTTCTTAAGGACCAAGGAAAGGATTAGTGGTATTAACTTTTTTTAAAGCTGTGTAATGAAAAATAAAAGATAAAGTGGAAACCAGCACTGAGAAATTGTGGTGAATATAAATAAAAGCTTAACATTTCAAAATGTGTAAAATTTGCTTCGTACTGCGGTTTTACTAGACAAGGGCTTGATCTTATTTTTTATTTTTTTTTAAAGATTTTATTTTATTTATTCATGAGAGACAAAGAGAGAGACAGAGAGGCAGAGACACAGGCAGAGGGAGAAGCAGGCTCCATGCAGGGAGCCCAATGTGGGACTCGATCCCGGGTCCCCAGGATCAGGCCCGGGCCAAAGGCGGCACAAAACCGCTGAGCCACCCGGGCTGCCCAGGGCTTGATTTTAATTCAATGAAATGGCCCTTTAAAAAAAAATAAGATTTTATTTATTTATTCATGAGAAGCAGAGACATAGGCAGAGGGAGAAGCAGGATCCTCGCAGGGTAGGACTCCATCCCAGGACCCTGGATCATGGCCTGAGCTCACCCACTGAGCCACCCAGGTGCCGCACGCAGATGCTCACCACTGAGCCACCCAGGTGCTGCAACCAAATGGCTCTTATATAAGAAACTAGTTAAGAAAACAAAAAGATCTGCTATCAGGGTTCTCAAAGTGCTCTGTAAGTCCTGTGAAACCCACAAAGTTACTTTGACTAAGGGGGTGAAGGATAACGTCTTAGAAGAGGTGAAGGTGTGAACAGAGCCTTCCTTGGACAGCGTTTGGAAGACTGGAGGGCAGCAAAAGTAATACAGAGCATAACTTTATAATGTTAGAGAGGTGCAGCAATTAAAAACAGACCCTCAGGAAATTGGTTACCTGGCAGGGTAAGCAAGAAGGAGGATGGAAGGTGGTGCTGAGTGCAGGCTTCATCATCTGTCTCATGGACAACAACCATTGGAGGTGTGACACTCTGACAATAATCTGATTTTGTGTCCAGATCTGAATCTGAGATGACTGTGGTGTGCAGGATAGATTGAAAAGCAAGAAAGATCAGAGTTAAAAAAAAAAAAAAAAAGAAAGAAAGAAAGAAAGAAAGAAAGAAAGAAAGAAAGAAAGAAAGAAAGATCAGAGTTGGGGAGAGCAGCTATACTTAACAGTTATGAGAATCCTTGGGAGAAATTTTGGGGTTTGGTGTTAGAATTTCACCTGGAGAGTTAGTTTACTTTACATTTTGGACATCCAATTATGTGACTATTTTTGTCTTAGTGATGAATCAGTAAACCCAAAGGAACATTATAAAGCTCATTGTTGTAGGGGCCATGGAAAAATAAACACACATACATAGCTAATGGCTGGACGTTGGAGTTTCTGAGGATTGTATCTTGCAGTAGATACTGAGAGCTATAAAGTTGTTCGTATTTATTAAACTGTTAATGTCACTTTTTTTTTTAAGATTTTATTGATTTATTCATGAGAGACACAGAGAGAGGCAGAGACACAGGCAGAGGGAGAAGCAAGATTCCTGTGGGGAGCCCAATATGGGACTTGATCCTAGGACCCCAGGATCATGACCTGAGCCAAAGGCAGATGCTCAACCATTGAGACACCAGGTGCCCATATTAATGTCACTCTTGAAAATATATCACAAAGAAATAACCCAAGAGAAACAGTTCACATAATTATTTATAGCTGTAGTGCATAATAGTGAAAAAAAAAAAAGAGAAGGAACACAAATGTACAGTGGTAGAGATTGGTTAAATAAATCATTTAATATAATGGAATGTGAGAAAGCCACCAGAAATGATTAAATAGGTCAGATAAATAAAAATGTACGTAACTGTGTAAATTATCAAAATATGCATTATATCCTTGTAAGAATATATATGTGTATGTATATAGCAAAAAGACGTAAGAGGTCATGGGATGTTATAAATAACATTAAAGGATTGGTTTTTCTTCTCTGCAGAGTTAATATAATTGGTAGGTTCTTTTGAGATTAGCACCAGTTAAGAAGTGGGTTTTAGAAACTTTGTAAAATTTAGAGCTTTATGCATAATCTTTCTTCAGCTTCAGATTTATGCATAATCTTTCTTCAGCCTCTTTGTCCCTTTGTTTCAGGATTTAAGCATTGAGGAACAGTCAGAGTGTACTCAGGATTTTTACCAGAATGTGGCTGAAAGAATGCAGACTCGTGGAAAAGGTAATGCTTTGTTAGCCAGCCATAAAAGGGTTGCTAGTATTATACCGAATCTGACTGCTTTGTCTCTTAGTACTTTCTCTGTTTATCTGATGGCCTGGCTGGTTTGCCAACTCTGTCCTATAAACACCTCCATTGACATTCTGGTAACTGGTCTTACCCTTAGAGGGGCTTTGAATACCACCATGTGTATCACTCCAAGATAATCACAGCAGTTGGGTAATTTATTGCACAATGTTTAATCATTCCATTAGGGGTAAGGGGCAGAGTCGATTAAAACCCCTTAGGGGTTTCTAAACGAAATGCCCGTCTTGGATCACCATTTTGGTAAGTCATTTTTCATCATCATGTATTCCTCAGATGGGTGGGGAGTGGAAAAAAAATTGACAATCACTGACTTAGAGCTGTAGGTTTTTAGAGATTTTTTTCTTGAATTTGACTTCCCCTGATGTTGGGCGTTAGGATATCCTTAGCATATATGTATATCTGAGAAATAAGCTCTACCTGTTCATCTCTAAAAGCTCCAAGGTTGTTTAGTAAACCTCAGGAAAATGAAAGAGTGAGTTGCCATCATTCTCAGTCTTGGGAATTTCAAGTGCTCCCCTGATGTAGCCGTGGGGAGGGACCCCTGCTGAGATCTTCCCACTTGGCAGGGTGTACAATGTTAGGTCCTGCCAAAACAGTTACAGTTAGAAGCAGTGATTCTGTAAAACAATAGTCCCAAAAGTTGTAAGTTTTTTAAACGGTATTTTTTAATGTAACATCTTAAGCTTTTGTTTCTTGATATATTTAATGTATCACTAGTAAGTTAGTTTTTTTGCTATGTAGGAAAAGCTGTGAAAACATACTCTTAATTTAAACTGTCCATCCTTCTCTTGAGCTTTTATGTCCATTTGGATATTTCAGTGCCTCCAGAAAGAGTTGAAAAGATAATGGATCAGATTGAAAAGTACATCATGACTCGTCTCTATAAATATGTGTTCTGTCCAGAAACTACTGATGATGAGAAGAAAGATCTCGCTATTCAGAAGAGGATCAGGTTAGTTGTTTTGCTTGGTTTTGTATTTACTCTCTACCATCAAGAGAACACATTGTGGGAAAACACGGCCCTTGCATTTCACACCTTGACAGCAAAAAACCCAGCAAAGGTACCCACCACCCTGAGCATCTAATCTTCTTCATGATGCCAAACAAAAAGGACTATGGTAAATTGATAGAAGAAAAGGGCTGAAATCACCTTCCTGCTTATCCATCTGAGTCTAAGCAGCTTTAGAAAAGAAGCCGATCTGATGTTTGAGATTGTTTCAAATCTCCAAAATTTCCAAGGAACAGGAGGAAATTTCATTATTTTCTCACTTCATTAACAGTCTTGTCAGGCAAGAAGCTGTAAATATCCATGTGAAGGCAGTAGGTGTCATTATTCCTCCTCCCTACTAGAGGTGCTCATTATTTAGCTGTTCCTTTGATCATATCTTCCCACTCACACGGGATTGATAACACTTCCCAAAGCACTCCATCTTCCCTGAGTGGTAGAGTGAGCCCCAGGGCTCTGTATTCCAGTGGCAATGAAACCTTTAGAAAATAGGCTATCTGAATATGGGCATGGGTCCAAGGCTGGTTGTGGTAAGGTGCTCCTGGAGGAGGGGCTTAGGAGTCCAAACAGGATTCCCAAACAGTGAGGCTGCTCATTAGTAGATCTCTTCTTGATAGTGTCACACCAGAAGCGAAGAGTTGGTTTTGAGAAGGTGGCAGATGGAGCCAGGAGGAACTAGATGGACTTTGGATTGATGTACAGGGTGAGAGCATTCATCAGGCAAGAATCTCTTCTGTGAAGCTAGGGTGTGACCAGGAAATTCAGGGATTCAGACTGCAGTGACACATGCTCGTTGATCTCCTGCCACCTCTGGTGTGCCTCAGAAGTTGAGGGCAGAACCTAAACGGACATTATGGTGTTGTACAATGAAGAAAGGAGCAGCAGGTCTCAAATCTTCAGTCTCAGATATCTTTCAGCCTCAGTATAATCTCATTTCAACCAGTAAAATTGTCTTCTGCTTTTCTTGTGATAAATGCAGAAGAGAAGCCTCATTTTAGAATTCTGGTCACTTCCCCTGAGCTCCTGAGATGGTCATGCGCAATGTGGTGGGGCCTAGGATTGCCTCATTCGTCAGTGGTGCCTGTATTTCCCCTTCACTGAAGGAAATGACAGACAAATGACTGCCCGTTCTTGGAATTTTTTTTTTTTTTATTGTCTCTCCCTCTTTGTAGAGCCCTGCACTGGGTTACACCTCAGATGCTTTGTGTCCCTGTTAATGAAGAAATTTCAGAAGTATCTGATATGGTGGTGAAAGCAATCACAGGTCAGTGAACAGAGAGCTTTTTTATCTGGATGTTTCTCCCTTGAAGTTAACATAAGTCCATACCATAGAGATAGTAAAGTACCTAAAATGCAGACTGCCAAAGACATATTGAAATGCAGTAAAAGCAATTTGTAAGTGTGCTAGTTTTCTGAATTTGAAGCACTTATTTTAGTAGGTGAACTACATTTCTTTACTTTCTGTGACCTGGGTCTCTTATTTCTTGGGGCATTGAACTAATAAACTAAGGTTAAATGCAGTTAGGGCAGATTTCTTTTTCTTTCTTTCTTTCTTTCTTTCTTTCTTTCTTTTTCTTTTCTTTTCTTTTCTTTTCTTTTCTTTCTTTTCCTTATTTTCTTTCTTTTTTGAAAGAGAGAGTAGTGATGGGGGCAAGGGGAAGGGAGAGGAGGGGCAGAAAGAGGGAGAGAGAGAATCTCAAGCAGCCTCCATGCCGAGTGCAGAACCCAACAGTAGGGCTTGAGATTATGACCTGAGCTGAAGTCAAGAGTTGGACGCTTAACCAACTGAGCCACCCAGACACCCCAGCTAGGGCAAATTTCTTAAAACTCAGTTACATTTATATATCCAAAATAATTTTGGAGAGAGGAAGAGAATTGATGGGGCAAGGTAATCCCCATGCTACAGGTATATACTAAAATAATATCTCTCTAATTGGTTGTTAGTCAAAGATGTGCTTTGGATTATTTTTTTGGTTTGCTCAAGATGGAAATGAAGTACCCTGAACTGATGTGGCTCCACATCCTGGACAGGTCTAGGCACCTAATAAAGTTTCTGTTTCTTATTCATAGGACTAGCCCAGCAGAAGAAGTATACAATGAAAGTTACAAAAAATAAAAAAGAATCAAAACAAATTCCTCCTACTAGAGAAGGTATCCAACCTTGGTCAGGTTCTTTTTTATTAAGACGAGTTGGAAAAACTTGCCTATTTAGAGTTGTTAATGAAATTCCGCTGAGAAAGAAAGTTGATCAGTTGCTGTTAGTATTGGCTGGGGGCAAGCCATCAGGTAGGCTCCTTTGGTTATAAGAACTAGAGGAAGAAATGAGGGTTTGCTTAAGATACTATCAAGTAGGAAAGGAATCAGGACTCTCATAGGCCCCTTTAGGGACTATTATTAAGATGATTCTTCCACTCTCTCAGGTTCTGCTTCTCTTTGTATATCTTTGCTTTTTTAGCTCCTGTTATTAAATGAATTATTCTCTGTAATTCCACTGGTAGAGTCTAACTGGCCTAGCTAAATACTGTTATCTTTGTTGTTCAGAGCTTTTCTGCAAGGCTGTGTTGTAGGTTTCATGAATTGACTGCTCTGGGTCAAAGCCCACTCTCACTCCTGCCTTTTGCTCTGGGAACTTCATTGGAGAATAAAGATGAGAAGCCTGAATATGGGGCCTTGTACTTGTGTTTTTTTTTTCTGAAGATTCTGGCCAAGTTCAAGACCAACTGGTTTATGTTTAAGTAATTCATAGGAATTTATGTCCCAGACTCTTTTTTGAAATGCCATAGGATAGACCTTGTAAAACCAGAAACTACAAGAGCCAGACCATTGTTTGCTTAAAAATAGAACTAAGAGAGGGTGGCAGGGTGGTTCAGTCAGATGGGGCGTCTGCCTTTGGCTCAGGTCATGATCCCAGGGTCCTGGGATTGAGCCCTGCTTCGAGCTCCCTGCTCAGCAGAGAGCCTGCTTTTTCCTCTCCCTCTGCTGCTCCCCTGCTTGTCCTCTCTCTGTGTGTGTCTCAAATGAAAAACAAAAACAGAATTAAGAGGATTTCAGTTTATCAACAGTTTATTAATATAATTTAAAAAAAAAAAGAATTTGAGGAGATTCTTTGATAGTGGGAATTTGACCACAAAAATTTAAAAACCTTCCTACTCTTTCTTGTCTTAGCCCCCATATCTTGCCAATCCAAGTGCAGATACATTTTGTGTATGATTACACAAGGCTGTATGATTACTTTCTTCCTAATCTAAAATTGTTAGCCTAAGTACAGGAGCAACCAGAGAGGATAGTCTGTAACAGTAGTCTTAAAAATGGAGACATCAGTTAAATTTCTCTAAATCATCCCATGTGTTACTACTAATCAGCGCTGTCGGTTTTGTTGATAAATACACTGAATGAGGCATTTTCCATTTCATTTGACATCTGTCATCTAGTAGGTGGAGGCCAGGAATGCAATTAAACATCCTGCAGGACAGGACAGTCTCCTACAAAAAGGATGATCCTATCTAAAATATCATTAGTGCCAAGATTGAGAAATCATGACCAACAGGTGTAGCCTACTTTGTTTTCAAAACTTCATTAAAGATAAAACTAGACTCCTGCCAAGATGGAGTGCACACACTCAGTCCGTCTTTCCTACTGATTACACATAAAAACCTTGAATGCAAACACAATTCAGGTGTCTGAGGGCTGTGAAAAGCAAATAATAGGCAGACTAGGGTGGGAAATAGTAGAAGAATTAATACAGTTATGAGTTTCCTGTTCTGTTATTTTCTCCCAGATCCCCTCGTTTACGCTTTAGAGCGGTGTGCTGGGGAGTTCCCCCCTAAAAACTTCTTTCAGGCTTAAAGGATGCTAGGAAGGGGAAGGGTCACTGTAGAACAAAGAGTGTGGGAGGAATCTCCACCCCCCATGCTTAACTCCTTTTTTCCTTCCCTTCTCTTCCTTTTTTTTTTTTTTTTTTAAGATTTATTTATTTATTCATGAGAGACGCAGAGACAGACACAGGCAGAGGGAGAAGCACGCTCCCCACAGGGAGCCTGATGTGGGACTCGATCCCAGATCCTGGAATCACGCCCTGAGCCAAAGGCAGGTGCCCAACCGCTGAGCCCCCCAGGCATCCCCCTTCTCTTCCTTTTTACACTCTAGGCTCTCCCTCTTGGCATTGGCAGCAACACATGGTTCCAGATAAAAGAATAAACATTAATGAGAAAGTGGCTAAAAGTTTAAAATAAAGAATAAAAACCAATAATAAAAGGTAGGAAGCTAAATAGGATAAATTAAAGTAGTAAAAAAAGGTTTTAAAAAAAAGTCTTCCCCCAAATCTTTTTTGTAATATGTTCTACTCAAATAGAAAAAGTAGACTAAGATATATTAACAATAATTACAACCCATAATTAAAAGATTAAAGGAACTAAGCTATAAAATAAGCAAAAGCACATGACAGACGTGTGGGTACAGGGAATGAAAGCATTAATAAATTAAAATCTGGCCCCCACACTGTCCCATGTCTCTGCCCCCCACCCCCCACCTGTTCTTCCATGGCTGGTGGTCCCCTGGGAACCGACTTCAGGGATGGGAGTTGGGAGCAGAAAGAACTCCGGTGTGCACCACCATCCTGTCTAAATTGGAAACTCTTATTCCCGCTATTGGCCAGAAATTGCTGTCAAATTAACCTGCCTCAGTTGTTTCTTTCACGTTGCTTCAGATTGCAAGCAGAAACGCACATCAGAGGGCACACTCCCCCCTTCTTGTGTGGTTCTAGTGGTGCTGACAACTATTCCCTATTACTCCCTAGTCTTTGTGACACAGGGAGTGCATTTATAAGAGCCCACCACTTGGTGGTCGTTAGAGACAATGAAGTAATTTTTCTCTGAGGGAAATGAATGGTATTTATGAGATTAAATTTTATACCCTGCTCTATCCTCTGTGCTAACTAGTAGGTATAAATGTCATAAAGGTGCTGTAGATGTTTATAGCTGTTGAGGATTTATATGCCATGGAGACTGGCTGCTCTGACCTACCTATGTGTGGATAGATTTCAGCAGCTGTAGTTTGATATCCAATACAGTGATGCTTTGTATTGTACCCACCTTTCCAAAAAGCAGTATGCTTTCTAAACTGACTTTAACAGGGTACTAGAGGAAGAGAATCAGGAAAAACTCTTTGTATTCAACGAGCTCATGAGGAGTTTATCATTGTGATTAAAAGCATTGGTTTTTAATAGAGTCAGATTGGATTTCAAATCCTCCCACTGTCACTTGCTGTCTATATAATTTTAGGCAAATTATCAAACTTCTCTGAACCCCAGTTCCCTTCCCAGTAGTAGGGATGAAAAGATGAAAAAGAAATAGGCTCATGGAGCACAGAAATAATGCACATAGTGTTTGGTTCATGGTCATGCATCCTGAAAGAATGAGCTAGTGCTTATGTTTTTTTGTGGTCAGATTTTTTTTTTTTAAGATTTTATTTATTCATGAGAGACACACAGAGAAAGAGGCAGAGGCAGAGACACAGGCAGAGGGAGAAGCAGGCTTCCTGCGTGGAGCCTGACATGGGACTCGATCCTGGGTCTCCAGGATCAGGCCCTGGACTGAAAGCGGCGCTAAACCACTGAGCCACCGGGGCTGCCCATCAGATTTTTTATATATTAAATTATCTGCCATAGAAGGGGTTAGCGAGGGTACCGCTGTAACTCGATAGATTAAAAAAGGATTATTCTAATGCTTCTTTTATGGAATTGTTTCTCATTGGAAGCAGTGTCTTTTCTGCTTTATAGATATCATTGAAATGGATTCAAAGCGTGTACCTCGAGATAAGTTGGCCTGCATCACCAAGTGTAGCAAGCACATCTTCAATGCCATTAAGATCACCAAGAATGAGCCAGCCTCAGCCGATGACTTTTTACCAACTCTCATCTACATTGTTTTGAAGGGCAACCCCCCACGTCTTCAGTCCAATATCCAGTATATCACCCGCTTCTGCAACCCAAGCCGATTGATGACTGGAGAGGATGGCTACTATTTCACCAATCTGGTAAATATTTGATTTCTTGGAATTACAGAGAAGAACCAATGAAAGTACTTATTTTAGGGATGTAACAGATCACTTACAGGCTAGTGACTGTTTAATGCCTCTGAGTTGAGCTGAGAATGCTTGCTTGGTGTCACATAGCACACGTGACCATACAAACTCCTCACCTCTCAGTACTCGACCAGAAATTTTGGTACTCGTATGGAAAACGTGATAGCCACGTGGAGGATCTCTGCTGCTTGTTGGCCATCGCTCTCCCAGGTCCTGGGTAAAAGGGCCATTCACCTAGTTGGGTTGTTTAACCATGAATGAATCAGATAATGGATTTTTATTTTTTTCTTAAAGGACTTAAGAATTATTTTTTGGGGATCCCTGGGTGGCACAGTGGTTTGGCGCCTGCCTTTGGCTCAGGGTGCTATCCTGGAGACCTGGGATCGAGTCCCACGTCGGACTCCCGGTGCATGGAGCCTGCTTCTCCCTCTGCCTGTGTCTCTGCCTCTCTCTCTCTCTTCTCTCTCTCCTCTCTCTCTCTCTCTGACTATCATAAATAAATAAAAATTTAAAAAAAAACTTAAACACCTTTTTTAAAAAAAAAGAATTATTTTTTGTTTTATTTCTATAACTGATCTCTTAGCACTGAATACTGAGATTTTAAAAGGGTCAGCTTAGAGCATGTGAAATGATTTTCAAGTACTGTTAACAGTGCTAATTGATCCTAGGCAAGACAGGATTACAGTATATATGTCTAAGTAGTAAGGCTGAGTACTTTCTTTTACTGACGACTACACTTTGGTCTGTTTGCTTTAGACTAGATTTACTAGTGAATTTAAGCCTCAAAACACCCTCTGTGCTTTCTTTCCTATGTTGGAAGTTGTATAGGGTAATAGGGAAAGAAAGCTAATGTTACATAAGGAAGCGTTTCTAGTAAAGCGTCTAAATAGATGGTACTTCAATCTCTAAGACATCCAGAAATTTGTTGTGATTTGTTTTTACATCCTAAATATGTATTCACCTTTGTACCTAATTTTGTATTGTGTTTTCCTTTAAGTGGGTTCCCAAAAGTATATAAGCTTCCAGTCCCTCAAAACCTGGACCTGTCATTCATCACCCTCAACCATTGGGGTTCAGCTGCTCAACTTTGGAGAGCTCTTTTCCTTTTTTCAAGTTTTTATTTAAATTCTAGTTAGTTAACATACAGTGTAATATTAGTTCCAGGAGTAGAATTTAATGATTCATCACTTACATACAATACCTGGTACTCCTCGCAAGTGCCCTCCTTAATATCCATCACCCATTTAACCCATCCCAGGAATGCTCTTTTTCAAAACAATGCTTTCTCCATTATTTGCGGTATTTTTTTTAAGATTTATTTATTTATTTTTGTTTGTTTATGGTAGACACACACACACACAAAGAGAGAGAGAGGAGAGAGAGAGGCAGAGACACAGGCAGAGGGAGAAGCAGGCTCCATGCCGGGAGCCTGATGCGGGACTCGATCCCGAGACTCCAGGATTGTGCCCCGGGCCAAAGGCAGGTGCCAAACCACTGAGCCACCCAGGGATCCCCCCATTATTTGCAGTATTTATCATTCTTCCAAACACATGGTCGTTTAAACTATACTTCCCAAAAAAGTTTAAGTGACTGAAGTACTCATTTCTTTTTTTTTTAAAGATTGTATTTATTATTTATTTGAGAGAGAGAGAGCATGAACAGGCAGAGGGAGAGGGACAAGCAGACTCACTACTGAGCAGGGAGCCTGACACGGGACTTGATCCCAGGACCCTGAGATCATGACCTGAGTCGAAGGCAGGTTCTTAACCAACTGAGCCACCCAGGTACCCCTGAAGTACTAATTTCTTTTTTTTTTCTTTTTAATATTTTATTTATTTATTCATGAGAGACACAGAGAGAGAGGGCAGAGACATAGGCAGAGGGAGAAGCAGATTCCCTATAGGGAACCTGATACAGGACTCGAACCAGGATCCTGGGATCACGACCTGAGCCAAAGGCCAATGCTCAACCACTGAGCCCCCAGGTGCCCCGAAGTACTCATTTCTTAACATAATTGAAACATGTTCTTGACTGCTAGAGGAGAGCCTTTTGGATTTACTTCCTAATCTAGGGAACATTAGATGATCTGAAAATCCCTGAGAAGTATGGGATGGAGACATGACTGGTAGTAGAAGAAATGAGCAGGACCAGGAGGTGTTTGAGGGTAGCCCTCATGGTCAGCAATGGAGGCTGCTGGTTCACTGCTTCCTGCCACTTCCCAGAGCCTTGACCTGCAGCCTTAACTTTGTTTGCACCTTATTTCTCCATCTTCTTCTTGTCTGATTCAGAGTCTGGCTTCTACTCCTGTGCTTCAGTGAAACTGCTCTAGCAAAAGTGAAAAATCTGCCAGTTGTCAAATCCCATGAAAACTCTCAGTCTTTTCTTACTTCTGTTAACACTTTTGATAACTCCTTTGTTCTAGAACTTCTTATGTCTTTTGGATTTCACAATTCTACTCCTTCCTTGTCTCTTTGTAGGCTTTATGTCCTCTACTTCCTCTTGAATTGTGTTATTCCCTAGGGTTCTGTCCTCTGCATTTCTCTCCCTAGGCTGTCTCCTCTGGTCGCAGCTCTGCTGTCACCTGTACGGTGATGATGTACAGGCTTGTGTCACCTGTTTTGCCGTCAGACTGAGCTCCACTTCCAGTTATTTATTTATGCCTCAAATTTTAATTTGTTCAAAACTGAAACTGTTTCCCCATCAAATGATTTTCTCTTTTCTGATATATACTCTTTCCACTTGTGGCAATAGCATATATCCATGCCAGGAATGTTAGAATCATCATCTTAGATTCCTCCTCTGCAACACCTCCATAGACACAGTGCAAGCCTGTGTGGAAGGGTCAGTCAGGTGTAGTAGATTTGCTAAATATTCCTTAAAGTGATTCACTTTTTTTGAGCAATAATGAAGGATCCTGGGAATGAGTTTCTCAGAAGAAATTCTGAGAGCTGCCTGTTTTCCTCTGTTTATATTGCATGCCTTGTGAAAATGCACAATTTTTTTTTTTTTACACAATTTTTTTTTTTTAATGTGAGGGGCAGCTGGTTGCCTCAGTCAATGGAATATGTGAACTCTTGATCTCGGGGTTATGGGTTTGAGCTCCATGTTGGGTATGGAGATTACTTTAAAAATACAGATAAAAATGAATAAATAAAAACATGAAAACTGATCTTCCTTGTAGAAAGATTAAATCAGTATAAGAAAGTATAGCTAGCTAACAGGTGTCTGTTTGTTCAACTGAGCATTTGCCCCAGGATTTCTTTACTAATAATTGCTCCCATTTATTCATTGCATGTGCTGGGTTGTTGAATTCTCACTAGAAATCTGGATGGTATTTCCTGTTTTACAGATGCAGAAACCTCAGAGAGCATAGATAACTTTCCTAGGTTCACAAACTCTTAGGCTATCATGTGACAGAGGTGACAACTCAGGTTGCCTGATTTCAGAGTTTATTCTTTAAACTATTTGATGTTAAAGGACCAAAAGTCCCCCAAGGACCAGAAGTCTGTGTGCCACACTGGTCCTGGAAAATGCGCCCAGTAGCTGCCATGCCTTGAGTGAGCACCTGTGGGGTGGGCTAGACCTTGAGAAAGAATGGCTGTATGGCGCATGTTCCCCAGAGTTCCTGGCCATAGCAGTGATTCCTCTTCCTTGCAATGTGTCAGGGACACAAAGAGCCTCCAGGGTTGAGGAATCATTCATTTTTTGTCCACATGAAGCTCTGTAGTAGCCCATGTATAACAAACACCTAAGGTGCCTTCTCTAGTATTTCACTCTGTACAAGACCCCTGGACCTTTGAATAGCCCAAGGAGAGGACTGAATTTTAGACAGACTCAATGGCAATTGGCAATTTGGCTTTTCTTTTTTTTTTAAGGAAGAAATGTATTGTTTCAGATGAGATTATAAAGGAAACATGATTGGCTATGAGTTGATAATTTTTGAAGCTGAAGTCCAATGTGGGTCATTAGACTGTTTTGTCTACTTTTGATTCCATTTTAAATTCACCATAATAAAATGATTTAAATATATATATTTGAATATTTGTAGCTTTCCTCATATAACTATAGTAAATAACATTCTGGTTTTTTTGTAGTGCTGTGCTGTGGCTTTCATTGAGAAATTAGATGCTCAGTCTTTGAATTTAAGTCAAGAAGATTTTGATCGATACATGTCTGGCCAGACTTCTCCCAGGAAGCAAGAATCTGAGAATTGGTCTCCTGATGCTTGCTTAGGGGTTAAGCAAATGTATAAGAACTTGGATCTTCTGTCTCAGTTGAATGAACGGCAAGAAAGGATCATGAGTGAAGCAAAAAAACTTGAAAAAGACCTAATAGAGTGGACAGATGGAATTGCAAAAGAGGTACAAGACATTGTTGAGAAATACCCGCTTGAAATTAAGCCCCCAAATCAATCTTTAGCAGCTATTGACTCTGAAAATGTTGAAAACGATAAACTTCCTCCACCATTGCAACCTCAGGTTTATGCAGGATGATAAAAATTTATGTGGATAGTATTTATTTGAGCCTAAATTGTAGCTAGCCCTTATTATAGTCCATGATTGGGATCTAGACTATAACTTAATTGCTTATAAATGTCAGAGCATTTTTAAAGGTACAGTTTGTGGGGATTGTTTTGTTTGTTTTGTTTTTCCTGGCAGGGGAAGCATAGTAAATAATAAAATACTATTTATTTGAGTTAACTGAAATAGATTCATTTCAGATTTATTGAAAGTTTTGTCTAAATCTATTTTTTTCTCCATGATTTTCCTATGTGCTTCCTCTGTGGCATTCACTGTGGTTTGGATTTGGGTAAATAATTGCCTTTAAAGGATAAAATAAATGAATGCTACAAAATATATGTTTAAGGGAATTCAATGGTACCACTATTCTACACTTTGAAATAATTTTATAATTGTAAAAGATAGAAGATATATTGATAAGTAAATATGTAAAATTGTAAATATGTAAAACAAAAAAAGGAATGGTGTCTGCTGTGCATGGCATTTCATGTGTTAATTTGTTTAGTTTAAAATGAAGTATATTGAATGTTTGCCTTTAACTCCATTCTATTTGGTTTGCCCCACTTAAATGAATCTAGAAGTGTTTAGACATACTTCCCTTAAAATGTTGCCTCCATCTTTAACAATATGTTAGTCTTGATTTAGGTTCTGTACAGTCAGAGACTGACACCATTGAGGTTCAGAATAATTTTAAGGTCACATAAAGTTACTATTCAGGATAGTCATTTGAAGACTTTGAACCATGCTTCTTGCACCTTTTTCCTCCACTCATTCAGGAAATCTATATAGATTTCTTTGTAAAGGAGCTGGTCCTGGGTCTGGATCAGAAGAAAGGAATGAATAGGACTCCACTGATGAGAGCCATTTGGGGGGGGGGGGTTGTCCCTCAGACCCCTCACGTGCACAGGTGCCTTTCTGCCTCTGTAGCATATTTTTGAGTTGATGGACAACCCAGACACATGTCATATAAACCTATTTCAGGGTTTCTCAACCTCAATACTACTGACATTCGGGGGCTGAGGATTTTTCGTTATGGGGGCTTCCCTGTGCATTGTAGGATACTTAGCAGTATTCTTGGCTTCTTTACCCCCTAGACACTGGTGGCACCCCCCACAGTTGTGAAAAAATATCTCCAGACATTGCCAAATGTTTCTGGGAGTGGGAGGGTGGCAAAATCATCTCCAGTTAAGAACCACTGATCTGTTTCTTAAGTGAGGAAATTACCCTCCTGGTGGTTAATATAATGTAACCAAAGAATATTGCATTAAATGCACAGTACAGTTAACCGATATTCATTGAGATTTTACAGCCACTGGCAGTGTGGAACCTTTCCTAATCCTAAAGGAACCCTTCATAACTTAAATATGCCATGTATGATCCTTCGACCAGTCACTGATTTCTACACATTACCAGTGCACCTGTGACTTTGTGAGTAATTTCTAGGGCACCATTCTGAAAAAAGGTCACATCACGCAAGTAGTTAAGGTTTCTTTGCTTTCCCAATGTCTTCCTAATAGCGTACCACAAACTTTTGGTGCAGTATTTTGGAATAAATCTAGGGTGAGTATAAAACTTTATCCTATACTTAAATTTACATGTAAGATCCATCAGGTTAATACACCTGTTGTCATAAAGCACTGAAGGTGTGAAGCAGTTAACTAAGTCAATGATCACTGAGCTCACATGGAGTCTAGTGAGTTACTATCAAATCCCAGTGAGAATCTGCACTTAAAAACCCAGGCCCAAGCGATTTCTGTAGAAGACGGTCCCCTTGTTCCTTTGTTCTTTTCTATGTACTTTCTAGGTGCTAATCCAGGTATACACATTCTTAATTCTCCTGGGAATATACAGTTCTTTTAGTCATTGTACACTATATTTGTTAAATAAAACGTGCATATCGGCCTCCCATAAAAGCTGTCTTCTTTTGATTTCTTACATATCGTTAAGTTGTTGAATTAATTTCTTTGTATATCTCATATTAATTGAATTCTTTAAATATGAACTCTTGCCTTAGGTAGAGGCTTATATTTTTCTTAAGTCAGCTTCAATACTGTGTGTGGCCAGTTTCTGTCTTCTCAACAAGAATATATTGCTATTTTATGTACTATAAATGTAACTGAAATAAACTTTTGGAACAGAAGTCCATATTAATAAGACTTCATGATCCATCCCTCTTCCAGATAGATTTTTAGTTTTTTATCTTAGGAAAATATACATTACTAATATTGTCATGTTATAGAGTTTTCCTATTTAAGTCACAACCATCATTATTACCATTACCATTCCAAAAAAGGAAACATTAGTGACATTCCAGTTAAAATTATGAACAAGAGAAGGATGTTTGCTGTCACTAATATTCCCATTGTTCTGAAAGTTTTACCGCAAGTACTCAGTCTTAAAACAGAACTAAAAGGGTCTTAATCTTTTTTTTTTTTTTACTTAAGACTATATTTATTTGAGAGAGCATGAGGAGAAGAGGGTGAGAGGGAAGAGGGAGAAGTGGATTTCCTGCTCAGCAGGGAGCGGGACATGTGGCTTGATCCCAGGACCCTGGAATCAGTCCCTGAGCCAAAGACAGATGCTTAAACTGACTGAGCCACCCAGGCAAAGGGGCTTAATCTAATCAATATAGGGATGTTCTAGCCTCATTCATGGTTGAGGAATGAACTCAAGCTGGGAGGCTTGGCATTGGTTTTGAGTTTTGGCTTCCACTTAGATATTTATTAGCTCTTTGGCCTTGGGCAAGTCTCTCATGTTTCACATCCCTAATCTGTGAATTGGGGATAACAATTGTGCCTGCTTCAAGGGCTCATGAGGATTAAATGACTAGCAGTAGTACCTAACAATGCTATGTGCTCAAGTGATAGCTGTTATGTATAGGTGATTCTTCTATATAGAAGAACCAAGAGAACTGATATTGAAAACTTAAATCTCACTAAAATGGTGAGATAGGAAATGCTAGGAATAGCCATCAAAAGTAACTATACAAAATGACTTCTCTGGGGATCCCTGGGTGGCGCAGCGGTTTGGCGCCTGCCTTTGGCCCAGGGCGCGATCCTGGAGACCCAGGATCGAATCCCGCGTCGGGCTCCCGGTGCATGGAGCCTGCTTCTCCCTCTGCTTGTGTCTCTGCCTCTCTCTCCCTGTGTGACTATCATAAATAAATAAAAATTAAAAAAAAAATCTTAAAAAAAATGACTTCTCTGTATCTCATTACTAGCCAGTTAGCAAATATAATGGGAAATTTTATCTGCTATAGAAACATATAAATCAAGTAGCAAGAGCTTTTAGGATTTATATGGAAAAAATATAAACCTGAGAAACAAAAGAAAATAGACATATATACAGGGCCTGTGTTCAAAATTTCCCTACACTTGGGCTTTAATGTTCTGTCTCTGTCATCTTGGAAATTCTTTTTTTTTTTTTTAAGATTGATTGATTGGTTGAGTTGAGAAAGAGCATGAGTGAGGGGGAGGGGCAAAGGGAGAGGGGGGAGCAGACACTTGCTGAGCAAGAAGCCTGATGCAGGTCTCAATCACAGGCAGATGCTTAACCAACTGAGCCACCCAGGATCCCTGCCATCTTGGAAATTCTTAATAATTTTATCACTGCATTTGTGTTTTTTAAGTGAAATCTGATGGGACAATGGAGTAGGTAACAATGGGGCTTAGAACCTTGGTTTATGCATAGTCTCACTTCTCCCCATCCTCTAGTATGAGATCTTAGTCTTAGCACTTCCACTCTATGACCACTCTAGCCAGGACCTGGGCACTCAGGAATGGTCAGAGCTGCGTGTGTATGCTTGGGGCATTGGACCAAGACATGTTGGTGCAGCAGATGTTTAGCGAGCTGAGAGCTGCATCTTGGCCATTTGGGGGCTGGGGATGAGCTTTGATCATCCTTTATTGAACATGTTCCATGGAGAAAAGGGTGAATCCTAGGGCTACGTAAGTTAAAAAATAAGGAGTCCTAAAGCAAGCAAGAAAGTACTTTAAGGCTAATGGGCATATCTCAGTAGGACATAGGAGTCAGCTTGAAAGAGTTCTCAGTGGCCAATTTGGGGAGAGTTTGAATAAAAAACCATGAAGTATAATTGTGAATAATATTGAATAAATTTTAAAAACCTCCGTATATTGGAGGTTACCATTATATCAACCTATTTTGAGGAAGAGCTATAGTTGACACCCAATTGATGGAAAACGTTCTTCACAGTAAAATTATAGCTACTAACTGTAGGAAAAAAATACAATTTTAATATCAGTCTTTTGGCCCGGGATCAAATGGCTTCATTGGTGAATTCTACCATTTAAGGAATGAATCTCAACCTTTGTCAAGCTCTCTTAAAATCAAGGAGGGAATACTTCTTATGAGACCATCACTGCCTTGATACCAAAGTGAGATAAGGACATTATGAGGAAAGAAATCTACAGACCAATTTCCCTGATGCCTACAGACGCAAAAATTCTCAATAAAATATTAGCAAACCAAGTTCAACAACACGTTAAAGGGATTATACACCACGACAATCAAGTGTGATTGATTCCTGGAAGGCAAAAAAAAAATGGTTCAACATACAAAACTAACCAATGCAATACATTAACAGAATAAAGGGATCAAACATCATACAGTCATCTCAACTGAAGCAGAAAAAGCATTTAACAAAACTAAGTACCCTTCTTGAAAAAAAATAATGGAAACTACACTATAATAAAAGGCATATATGAAAATTCACTAACATATCAATGGTGGAAGACTGAAAGCTTTTCCTGTAAGACCTGGAGCAAGACAAAGATGCCTGCTTACACCACTTCTATTCAAGATGACATATATTTTGGAATTGTCTAATGAGAAATTTTAAGACACCATCATAAGAATGCATTGATGGGCAGAGATGAACATGCTTGAAACAAATGAAAAAGTAGAAAGTCCCAGCAAAATAAAGATATGGGAAAGAACCAAATAGAAATATTAGAACTGAAAACTACAATAACTGAAATTTTAAAAAAATATATCACTGATGGCCTTCATATAAGAATGGAAATGACAGGAATGAATCTGAACTGAAGACGGATCAATAGAAATTATCCAGTCTGATAATAGACTGAAAAAAGGCTGAAATTTTAAAAATGAATATAGCCTCAGGGACCTCTGGGACAATAATAAAAGATCTGGCATTCCTGTAATTAGAGTCCTAGAAGGAGGGAAGAAAAAAGGGTAAAACTTTGTTAAAATCAATAGCAGCTGAAAGTTTACCAAATTTGGCCACAGGTATAGTAAAGATTCAAGAAGAATCTATAGATTCAAGAAGCTGGGTGATCTCCAAACAGGATAAGCACAAAGAAATCCATGCAAAAACGTGTTTTACAAACTTCTCAAAATTAAAAACTTTAAAGTAGTTAGCAAGGATACATTACCTATGATAGAGCAATGATTTGAATGATACTGGATTTGTCATTAGAAACCACAGAGGGCAGAAGGAAATGATGACAAGGATGTGGAGAAAGTGGATCACTTGTACAATCCTGATGGAAACCTAACATAGCTACTCCGGAAAATATTTTGGCAACTTCCTAAAACTAAGTATGTCATTATCACACAACTCACCAATTGCATTGTTGGGCATTTGTCCCAGAGAAATGAAAGCTTATGTTCTCACAGAAGCAGGTACACAAATGCTCATAGCACCTTTATTCATGATAGCTCCAAACTGGAAACCAAATATCTTTCAACAGGTGAATGGTTAAACAAACTGTGGTACATTCATACAATGGAATACTACTACTCAATAAATAAGGAATGAACTATTTGTAAAGCTGCTTGGATGGGTCTCAAGGGATATATATTGAGTGGAAAAATTCAATCTGAAAAGATTGCATACTGTATGATTCCATTTATCTTTGTTCCATAATAATTTTAACAATTTACATCAAAATTAAATATTCTTAAAATGATAATTATAGAGGTGGAGAACAGATTGGATTACAGGGGTTTAGGATGGGGTGGAGAGGGAGCTGAATGTTGTTATAAGGCAGCATCATGATGGATCCGTTTGGTGTAAAATAGTTCTGTATTTTGACTGTGGTGGTGATGATACACATTTGCACATGATAAAATTGCATAGAACGAAACCACAAAAAAAAAAAAAGAACGAAACCACAAATGCTATTTAAAACTGGTGAAATTTGTATACAATCAGTGTATTGTTTCAGTGTAAATTTCCTGCATATAGTATTATGCCATAGTTATGCAAGATGTTACCTTGGGAAAACCTCGTTTAAAGAGTACATGGGATCTCTATTATTTCATACTCCTGCATGTGAATTGATAATTGTCCTAAAATAAATTTGATTTTTTGAATCTATTAAATCATGTGGAAACAACCCGTATGCCCATCAAGTGATGAGTAGATAAAAATAGTGTATGCATACAATGGAATATTATTTGGCCGTAAAATTGAGTGAAACACTGACACACTCTAGACCATGAATTAACTTTGAAAACATAATGCTGAGTGAAAGAAGCCAGACACAAAATACCACATATTATATGATTCCATTTATATGAAATGTCCAGAATAGGCAAATCCATAGAGACAGAAAATATTGGTGGTTCTCAAGGGCATGGGACCGGGGGGGTGGGGTGGAATGGGAACTGACTGCTAATGGGTACAGGGTTTCTTTTGGTGGGGACAAAAAATGTTCTGGAATTAGTGGTAATGGTTTCACAACTTTGTGAATGTATTTAAAATGATGAATTTTACAATTTAAAAAATGATCTCATGGTGAATTATATTTCACCAAAGCTTTAAAATGTCAGAATGGGAGCTGTGGAACTCATTGCTAGCATCTTGAAGTTTTCTGGCAAATCCTCCAGGCTGCATTTTGGTATTGAAGATTTCTGCCTTTACTTCAAGATACTATTAAAGTTGATGTGCTTTAAAGATGATGCACTTTACAAATTTTGGCAGCTTTCTATTTGTTTTCTTAAAGTTCCCTTGGTGATTTTGTTAAAATGTTAAGAAGAATAAATATTTGCCAAAAAAAGATAAATATATCAGCAAAGAATACAAATATAAGTGGAAAGTAAATAGGCACTTTGCAGTGAAGTATGCTAAACATTTGGTGCACTTAATTAAAAATAAAGTTATGTAGAAA